TCATATATCAAACTTCACTGGTGCCCCGCCTGTGTATACCGATAGCGCGGGTGGGGTTACCATTTCATTATCATCCATTAAAAAAACTTGTTGCAGCCTAATATCTTCTTACAGATATGTGTGGGCATGAGTCGTATGAGTGAGTGTATGCGTGTGTGTGTAGATGAAAAAGCGTATGTGTGCGTGTATGTATGCGTGTGTGTGTGTGTGCATACGTGTGAATATTACTTGTTCCTCTTTAATATTTTGTTCAACGTGCATCGCATGCATACATAATACTCTCCTATTGTATGAACAGTAAAATCGTCCAGTACTTAATTAAAAGTGGTAATTATTATGGTGATCGTATGCACTACACACAGCGCCATCTGGTGTATGCAAATCTCTGACACGTTATGCATTATGTTTGTGTACTTTCATTTTCGTAGTAATAAATGTGTATGCATTTTTAAAATTTAAATGAAATGACAAATAAAACGCGACCTATTTTGAATGAATAATGACTCACACACTCGCAATATTCCATCCTAGTGTGTATTTTTTTTAAATGTACAACACAGGAGAATAAATATAAAAAAGATATTAAATTATCACTATATGAGTAAAAAATTAATATAACCGTCAGCAGATTTAGAAATTTTGCTTCAAGTTGTCTTTAATTATAAAATAATCAATAAAAACTACAAATCTCGATTCTAACGCCATCTAGTATGTCGTGTCCATTTTTGTTTAGGGACGTGGTTGGTCCCTTAAGGCATCTCAATGTACACATCCCTCTTGTATAGGTAATATCAAAGCTATATCTTTATGAATGTAATATATAAGTATAAATATAGTACATGCAATACAGAATCTACTTATTTTCCAATACAATAATTCCTGTCTCTTGTAAAATATAAAATATTCAGCGGGAAAATCTAAAAGTGAATACTGTAAGAGGTATGTTTTATGAATATGTACTTTAAAAGTTTTGCTGCTTTTACTTGTGGATCGAAGCACCTACTCGCAGATACCAGCTTGGTCCTCTTGACTTGGTTCAAAGACGGGCTTTGAGAATAGTCGATTCGAAGCTCATAGGCGTTAACGACCCCTTAAGTCTAAGACGAGACTTTGTCTCCTTTTTTTTTTTGTTGCTGATATTCAGCTTTATATACTATTTACGACTAACCTTGTATTTGACACGATTATAGGTTGAATAATAAATATGGTTTATATACCCACTTAAACGACAGATTAGAAACAAAAGCAAAATAAAATGCAGTAATGTCGTAGTTCCATCTTTGAAAGTCTGCCTTTTTCATATTAGATTTTTTATGACATAATCTTGCAGTAATTAAGAAGCTTTAATTTCCGTTCCTTTTACCGTTAACTTTATTAAGCTAGCATTCTTAGTTTCAAAGATTTATAGTTTTCTTTAGGTGACCTGGATTCACTGCTCTCGAGTATATATATATACATATACATATACATATACATATACATATACATATACATATACATATACATATACATATACATATACATATACATATACATATACATATACATATACATATACATATACATATACATATACATATACATATACATATACATATACATATACATATACATATACTACATATACATATACATATACATACATATACATATACAAATACATATACAGATATACATATACATATAAAGACGACTAAGCGATGTCTATATCGGTTGTATAAATTACTTTGTCCTCATCGTTCTATTCTCATCTCGCGGCGGGTACATAAATGAAGTACAGACAATGGGGGCGGCGTTACCAGCTGTTTAGTCGTCTCTCATTAACATAACATAGGAGAACAACACAATTAGTTCGAGACCAGGTGATGTAAATTGTATACGCTCCAGCCGTAGGAAATTCGTGAGGTATTTATGAAAGTTATTTATAAATTTTCAATATATAATAATATATATTAATAAATTAAGTATTGGGGAGAGGGAGACTTTGTACAAAAGTCGATTGCTTGGGTAACCTCTGTCCCATTCATGTTTCAACCGTGAAGCAGTTGTGTTTGCAAGGCTGTGTTTCGGTTTGAAGGGTGGGATATGGCGTGAATTTACTGGGTACAGAGGAATAACACCTGAGTCCTCAGGAATGGCAACGCATGGGGGGTATCATGGGCGAAACAGTATACTCTGTTATGTTCATGGTACTGCTCATGTCTATAGGCGACGGTTATCACTTTCCATCAGGTGGGCCGTCAGCTTGTTTGCCATTCTAAGTTGTATAAATATAAAAAAACCATGGCTGACGTAAGAGGCGGCCAAGGAAACTTAATGGTCGATGAAATCGCAAAATTTATATGATTGAAGTAAAGGTAGGAACATGATAATGAATTTCATGTAACTTTCTTTGGAGGGAGCAATAAAGGGTTTATTTTTTTTTTACAACACAGGGGGCAAACGAGCATGCGGCTCACCTGATGGTAAGTGACTACCGCCGCCCATGATCACCCACAACACCAGCGGCATTGCAGGTGTACTGCCGGCCATACTGTTTATACTTACTCATTCATCTCTTTTCCTAAATACACTTTATTTAAAGAAAACAATGTAGGAAATTTATAAATTATCATTTGTCTAGTTCAGTTTATTTATTTCGCCCTATGTGTAGTTTAATAACGCCAAGTTAATAACTAACTACCAATATATCTATAACTTAGGATGGAATTAACAATATTCTATACAAGAGGCTGTGAGATTTGGATCGACAGTTTGTATCAAAACAATCGTCATGTGTCAAATTTAAACGGGTCACCTACCTTAGAAAGTTTAATATTATTGCTGTTAATTTTGAACGTCATAGTTAATTTTTTTTATATACATTTCATATACAATATGGATGTAACTTAGGTGTAATTGTTTTTATACAACACTTTTCAATTTTTAACCGCATATTTGTATTTCTATTTCGCCAAAGGTTGACTGGGAGAGAATGTTATATAGCATTAAGTCCGCCTTTCGTACAAGATTTTTTTTGTAATGTAATCAATAAATAATAAATAAATAAATTGCAATTGTACCATAAATGTATGTATGTTACAAATTGTGATTACGATAATTATTATATTTTTTGTGTCTATGCTGTTTATCTTTATAACCTGTACCATTCTATGAAGAAACAAAAGAGTTTTCATTCATTTATTCTTCAAAAATATAAGTAGGTCATGCAAAAATACAATAGGTCGTAGTATAATCGTAACTAAATTAATAGGTCATTACTCTTGCAAAAATTGAATAGGTCGTAGTATAATCGTAACTAAATTAATAGGTCATTACTCCTGCAAAAATTGAATAGGTCGCAGTATAATCGTAACTAAATTAATAGGTCATTACTCCTGAAAAAATTTAATAGGTCGTAGTATAATCGTAACTAAATAATTAGGTCATTACTCCTGCAAAAATTGAATAGGTCGTAGTATAATCGTAACTAAATTAATTTACACTTATTAATATCACTGCGTAGTCCTGGCTGCGGCATAGATTGGCCTACCTCTTCCTTTTCTATAAGTGTAAGAGGCGACTAAGAAAACTTAATAGTCGAGGGATGAACAGCATCGTACCTCTTAAAAGATTACTAAAAGCCTAACTGCGGTTGCCAATCCAATCAAGCGTGGCAACTACTAGAAAACCCCGCTTATGAGGGAGGGATTCTTAGTTATGGGGATTTAAGCGCTCCATTGCCAGCAATGTAACCTTTCAGGTCGACTCCCACGCGGTTCCTACTGGAAACCATCTTGTTTACCTCTTATGGAATTAGTCAGAATGGGCTAACTGATTTGCATTCATCCTCATCTGTCATCCCTTACTAGTGTTCTGCCAGGATATACCGATAGCTCAGGCGGGGTTACCATTCAATTATCACCCATTAAAAAAGTCCTTATTAAGAAGTCTTATGCTCAGCAGTAGACAGTCAAGGGCTGATAGGATAATGAAAATAATATGCGACTAACATGAAAATAAACCTAGTGATTACAGAAATAAATATAAAAGTTGCTTACATATCCGTCACGCCTGTTTCCCTTGAGGGTAGCCAGAAACAATTGAACGCCAAATGCTTCGATTCAAACAAACCTCTTTCGCTTCCTCCAGATACATCAATCTTTCCTTACAAGCTCGCCGGTTGCGTATTAAAATTCTGTATGAGTAGATTTTCTCGCTGGGTAGCACAGTATTTTGTTATTATTCGCAAACAACACATCTGCTCACAGCCCTTGACTGATCGCAAATATAATTATAGGGGAAAAAACATTTGGGGTAAGATTTGTCCATATTTTGCCAATGTTACCCTTTAGAAAGTTTTTGCGTTTCCCTCGCCTATAGTATTTTGTACTCTTCTCGCTTAGTGTGTGTGTGTTTTGTTTTATACAACTTAGAATGGCACACAAGCTGACGGCCCACATGATAGAAAGTGGTAACCGTCGCCTGTAAACAAGAGCAGTACCATGCACATAACAGAGTATACTGTTTCACCCATGATACCCCCCCATGCGTTGCCATTTCTGAGTACTCAGGTGTTATTCCTCTGTACCCTGTAAATATACGCCATATCCCACCCTTCAAACCGAAACACAGTCATGCAAACACGACTGCTTCATGATTAAAACACGAATGGGACAAAGGTACTCAAGTAAACGACTTTTGTACAAAGTCTCCTTCTGGTAAAGTGTGTAGATAAGCACGGACATATAGGCTGAAATATGTAATTTTTTCTATCGATTATATAGCTTACGCCATCGACGTTGTATCGCCTCTACCACTACTGATCGGGTACATTTTTTCTTAGCGAGATAAAAACTATCATTTGTCTCAATTAATATAGAAATAAACAAAGCCCATTTAAAAAGAATCATTAAAATCCGTTGAGCGATTTTGGATTTCATATTAGCATGAACAAACTTTGTGAACTTTAAGTTTTCATATGTTAAGATATTAACATCATATTATTTTTTTGTTTACAGGGAATATGGGCGGAAGGCACAATTGAGTTTTGTACAGAAAAATGGCCGGATTCAATCAGGAAAGAGCTGTTTGGAACATTCAGTTTCATCCTGGTCTACGCTGTCCCTGGTAAGTAAATAATATCTTTATTGGTATTACGGTATATTATATATGTTTGTTTGTATATGTATGTATGTTTTTGCAACATGTGTTTGTATATATAAGTAATATAGTTTAATATATTCATTATTTAATATACTGACGACCCACCTGATGGAAAGTGGTAACCGTCGCCTATAGACATGAGCAGTAGCATGGACATAACAGAGTATACTGTTTCGCCCGTGATACCCCCCATGCGTTGCCATTCCTGAGGACTCGGGTGTTATTCCTCTGTACCCAGTAAATTCACGCTATATCAGCCATGCAAACACAACTGCTTCACGGTTGAAACACGAATGGGAGAGAGGTACCCAAGCAATCGACTTTTGTACAAAGTCTCCCTCTGGTCTCCCACATTAGCCATTAATTTCCAACAGCCATTTTGATCACGCACGTTTTGCGACACGTATTTCTCCTCTAAACGAAGCATCTTCAGGCAAATTATTAGATCGTTGCTTAGACCCTAGTATTAACCATCCCAGATGATTAATACTAGGCTCTAAACGAGGGGGATTGCTGGATTGCTAGTGTGGAAGTTTATGGAATTTCTATTAGTCAATTTTCAAGTGTTAGCAGTCACACACATACTAATGGTGGCGGCCAGCTTCGCTCGGGTATATACTACATATATACCCGAATGAAGCTGGGACGATTTGCTAGTATAAAATAAAAATATCTACATAAATTACAACTTACCTAGCACAAATAATATCCATATGGTCCCGGTATAGAAGAAGCTAAGCTTTCCTGTCCCATGGGTGTCGTAAGAGGTGATTAAGGGAATTTAATAATTAAAGGAAACGTTCTTCTTAAAACACCATCAAAGTCTAAATGCGGTTGCAAATTCGCCTGCCAAGCGATTTGCAAAATCCCCCTTATGGGAGAGCTATTTCCAGCAGTGGATAGCTAACGGCTTATATAATAATAATAACAGTACAAATAAATAAATTAAATTTATTCCCAAAGCCAGGATATTACTACGAAAGGTATTCGTAAAAGTGTGACTTAATTTGACACAAAATTAATATGACAGAATAAAGGAAAATGTCCTCTAGCAGAAAAACAAACAAAATTGAAAATTTATTTGTTTTTTATATCCATGTATTTTATTACTTTATAAATCAGAATAAGCTGTTAACTGTCCACTGCTGAATATAGGCTCCCCCTATTGGGAGGTTTGCCAGTAGTGTTTTTTTTATGGATGATAATGGAATGGTAACTTTACGCTATCGGTATACACTGGCGTGGCACCAGTGATAGATGACAGGTGAGGATAAAAGCAGGTAATTTCGTGACGCCTATCGTGATGAATTCTACAAGAAATAACCCTGATGGTTTCCGGGGGAACTACGTGGGGGTCGTCCTGATAGGGTATACTATTACCAGTGGTGCTAGTGGTAGTACCCCATTAGTAATAATTCTTTCCCCACTTAGTTGCCGGTAGTGCTGCCTATCCCTCGACCGTTAAGTTCCCTTAGTCGATTCTTATGACACCCATGGGATCAGAAGAAGTAGGTTATTCTAAACGGTATTCTAACGGGAAATGATTAGAACAATGACATTAGTATTAAATATTAATTTTATCATTATTTAAGTAATTCAAATAGTTTTTTCTTTTATTTAAAATTTACAAGGTACAGAGGAATAACACCCGAGTCCTTAGGAATCGCAACGCATGGGGGTATCATGGGCGAACCAGTATATTCTGTTATGTCCATGTTACTTCTCATGTCTATAGGCGACGGTTACCATTTTCCATCAGGTGAGCCGTCAAGTTGTTTGCCATTCTAAATTGCATAAAAAGAAAAATTAAATAAGCAAAATGTAATACTCTATTCCACTAGTTTGTTATAACATATTTTCATAATTTTAACTGATTCATACATATTACAGTAGTAAAGTTTCTTCATAAAAATAAAAATCATACAACAATACTTCGAGCAAACTGGTTTCCATCACCGAAATGTGTAATATTTCACACTTAAGAAGCCATCATGGTTCAGTTTGTGAGAAAAAAAAGCAGAGAGTTCAATGAATTTTAAAACAATGCAGCTAATATTCAAAGTTTATTTTCATATGGCAATGAAAAAGGGAAAATTTCTAACTTGGAAGAAGAATTTTATGAGTCGTCGCTTTTCAATGTGTTTTATTTTTAGATAAATTACATATATTTCAATATAATACACAGTGTTAGTCGTCTTTTATGGTTTTCTTAAGTATTCTTACATGAAAATGGCATTAAAATAATGTAATATAGTTAGGCATTCGTTATAATCGGTTAATTTTAAGAATAGAATCGATTTTTTTTATGCTACTTAGAATGGCAAACAAGCTAACGGTCCACCTGGTGGAAAGTGGTAACCGTCGCCTATAGACATGAGCAGTACCATGGACATAACAGAGTATACTGTTTCGCCCATGATACCCCCCATGCGTTGCCATTCCTGAGGACTCGGGTGTTATTCCTCTGTAACCAGTAAATTCACGCTATATCGCACCCTTCAAACCGAAACACAGCCATGCAAACACAGCTGCTTTACGGTTGAAATACGAATGGGACAGAGGTACCCAAGCAATCGACTTTTGTACAAAGTATCCCTCTGGTGAAGTGAAAGTTTAAGAGGACTTCTTTACAAAGCTCTTTTAAAAAATATTTTTTTTTAATCGTCTACAGGATTCAGAATGTTTTTATCTGCTGAGGTGAATAAACTCAACAGTTGCTCTTTTCAAATTATTGTATTATTAAACTATTGTGTTATTTTTAATTGATTTAAAAAAGAAAAGTATTCTCGATACGGTTGTATTTTTTTTTTGTTATGTTTGTTACCTCATAATTGCGTCAGTTGTAAACCGATTTAGGGAATTCTTTTTTTATCTGAAAGGATTTACTAAAATAGGTTCAATAGTTTTTTTTTATATTCAACTTAAAATGGCAAACAAGCTGACGGCCCACCTTATGGAAAGTGGTAACCGTCGCCTATTAACATGAGCAGTACCATGGACATAACAGAGTATACTGTTTCGCCCATGATACCCCTCATGCGTTGCCATTCCTGAGGACTCGGGTGTTATTCCTCTGTACCCAGTAAATTCAATAGTTCTGGAAACTATCGTAGTTAATTGATGTGGAATTCATCACGATAGGCTAACTAACCTGCTTTAATCTTCATCTATTTATGTTTACTAGCGGCCCGTCCTGGCTTCGCACGCTGGGCATTTTTACAATATTTTAAAAAGTGGTCATTGTCACATAACGATAATAGTTGGACATATCATATCGCGAAGTTTTTTATAGTGATTGATATTTTCTTCAATATTGTAAAACATACTTTTGTTCTATCACCAATAGTTTCCGCAGCGCACGCGACGAAAGTTATTTTATAGCATTTTTTTACACCTTGAGTTACGTTACTAAAGTTTTAGTAAGAATTCCTAATCTTTTCTAGCAATAAATATAACCTATGTTACTCAGGGTGAATGTAGCTTTGTAATGGTGAAGGAAGTTTTGAAATCGGCAAAGTTGTTTCTGAGTTTATTCATTACAAACATGCACACACACACACACACACACACATACACAAAAATACAAATCTTTCCTCTTTATAATATTAGTGTAAATATCTAAGTTTTTTTTTTTTAATAAAATTTATTATAATATCAAATGCCAGTAAATTAAGGGTTTGACCTCAGCCACGAGATTGGAATACTTCAGACGGTTAGTGTAATGAAACTTTTTATGAACTAGTTAGTAAGAGGGATTTAGACGTATCCACTCTAGGATTGAATGTATTTTAATCAGTATTAGCCAGCCACAAGCGGCCGCAGCTTATGTTTAAACAAGATATTTTTATATACCTCTTCACTACATAGTGTAAAAGAAAGTTGCTGTCGCTGTCTGTCTGTCCCTATGTATGCTTGAATCTTTGAAACTACGCAACGGATTTTTGAAGCGTTTTTTCTTAAAAGATAGAGTGATACAAGAGGAAAGTTTATATGTATAATACATACATAATATAGTAGAGGAGCACTGATAATTTTAAAAGTTTCTAATGTAATGTCGTAATATAATAGGGGGCCGGCGGCGCTATTTAGTATCAGCATTGCACCCGTGCGAAGCCGGGGCGGGTCGCTAGTATACTAATAAAATATTTATCAATTCCATTGGAATTTTAATATAAAATCGTATATTCTAATATTAAAATAACGATACACAATATCGTCTATAACAGATTTACTCTCATGCATTGATAAACACATGATTCGTTTCTCACTAAAGAGCTGCTATTTTAGAACGAGAATTCATATAAAATAATAATTAATTTGTCACAATTACAAATAATACAGGATGTGTGTATATATTATAATAATATATTAATTAATCTATTTACTTTACACGTACAAAGTAAACCGAGACATTCACATGCGCGGAAATTAAAGGAATCTTCCATGGAAAGCGAGCAGAGGCATAATTACGGGAAACTGTAATACTGTCTTTATTTTTGTTGATTCTATAAAGCGGCTTGATTAAAATGTGTGCCTCGCATCACGTCTCGACAGCGACGTGCCGAGTCAATCTATTGTCGAGTATTAATCTTTGTACATTATTATCTTGTAATTAACTGTTTCGAAGCATTTTAAACGAAGACTAGATCTTCAATTTAACTGTAATATTTTACTTTAATATACTTCTTTTTTAAACAACTTAGAATGGCAAACAAGCTGATGGCGCACCTGATGGAGAATAGTAACCGTCGCCTATAGACATGAGCAGTACTGTGGACATAAATAAGTATACTGTTTCGCCCATGATACCCCTCATGCGTTGCCATTCCTGAGAACTCAGGTGTTATTCCTCTGTACTCTGTAAATTCACTGCCATAATCCACACTTCAAACCGAAACACAGCCATGCAAACGCAACTGCTTCACGGTTGAAACACGAATGGGCAGAGGTGCATAAGAGAGGTG